GCGGCAGGCTTAAGAGTTTTATCAGCAGGTCGGTGGCATGGGTCAGGCCCTCGCTGTCAGCGCGGCAAACTCTCCAGCCCATCCTGGGCCCTCTTCTCCCTCCACACCCGCTTCCTCAGGGAGCCCTGCTGGCCTCCCAGCTTTACAGACTGCTGTGCACTGACCACTCCCATGTCCACACCCACGAGTCACTTACGTATCCGACTGCCCTCCACCGAGGTAGCTAGTCCACGTCGCCCGCTTAACAGGCGCAAAACCAAACTCCCGATGTTTCTCCCCATCTTGGTCAATGGCAACCTCATCTGCCATGTGCTCAGGGCAAAATCGGCCCTCCCTTCCCTCATATTTCACATGTGATCCACTGGCAAATGCTGTTGGCCATTCCTAATTCTGACCACCCTTCTTCACTTCTACCACGGCCACTCTAGTCCAAGCTACCTACTCACGCTCCAGGACCACTTCAGGAGCTGCCCAGTGGCATGCCTGCTTCCACCCGGCCTCTGTTCTTGACAACAGTAGCTGTGGTAACAACCATCATCGTAGTAGCTGCTCCCACTCTACAGTGCTTAGAATGTGCCAGATGCTGTTCTAAGCGCTTTCTTTACATTGACTTTAATCCTCACAATAACCATACAAAGTGAGCACTATTATGATCCCCGCTTTACAGATAAATACACTGAGTTTTGCACTTTTTGAATTTTCCAGTGTCCTTTCCGCCCCTACTCCTCTCCATCAATCCCCTGGTCCTCCCAGGCTGAAGGCTGCTCCTCCTCTAGCATTCCTGTCTCAGTAAAAAGCCCGCAGGCCATGGGGCAGCTCCTGTAGTGGTCCAGGAGCACGAAGAGAGCGGCTCGGACGGGAGCAGCTGTGGAAGTGGCTGCCTGAGCCTGCAACCTGGGGGTCATCCCAACTCCCCTTTCTTGAGCTTCTGATCCACTGCCAGTCTCTCTATTTTACACCCCCTAGTCCAGGCCACCACCCCATCTGACTACCGCAGTTATCTCAGCAGCCTCCTAAATCTGGTCTCCTGGCCTTCTGGCCCTGTGTGATCTTCCTAAAACATAAGTATGATCATGTGACTCTCCCACTTAAATGAATTTTCCCAGGCACCCACATCCTCCCTGACTTGTCTCTAGCTCCTGCCACACTCGGTTTCTACCACTGCTCAACACCCAGCAGCACACACACACTTTGCTATGCTGTTCCCTTGGCTTGGGTGCTCTTTCTCCCTTCTCTGCCCGATTCCTCTTCCCTCCTAAACCCAGCTCTGGGGTCACCTCCCTGTGACGTCCTCCTGACTCCCCCAGTGCTGTGTAATGACCATCTTCTAGTGGGAACATGCCCATCCAGCCCTCCTGAGCAAGGTCACCTTGGCTGAGGTGCTAACAGGCCAAAAGCAGTTTGGAGGCCAAGTGGTGAGGCCTTCATCAGCACCTTCTGTGTGTCTGGAACTAGTCCCAGAATCCTAAGGTCAACAGTAGAAGCACATGGCATGAGGAGGGGGAAGTGGGCCTGGAAAAGAGGAGAAGAGAAGAGAACTAGAGAACCAACATGTTTGGAGCAGGTTCTATGCTCCTGTGCTAAAGGCTTTGAAGACGGTACCTTATTTAATCACCGTAACATCCCTAGGAGGTAGGGACTTTAAAAACAAAGGGACTGATGCATAAGGGTTAAAAAACTAATAAAGGCAGCATTTCAAAACAGCGAGAGAAGGAAGAGATCATCCAGTAATAAAAAATTGGCTATGTATATGAAAATCATCAAGTTGGACCCCTTACACTGCATTAAAACCCTAGATGGAATAAACACAATTACTTAAGTGAATACTTATGTCAATTTGAGGTTAGGAAGGTCTTTCTTAGCATAACACAGAAGGCAGAGGCCATAAAGGAAAATACTGAGAGATCTGGCTATATACACATGTAAATGTTTACTATGTCAAAAATACATAAATTTAAAATGAAAGTAGAAAACTTGGAAAAGTATTTCCAACATGTTAGCAGATAGAAATATGGGTTCATGATCTAAACAGACAATTTACATAGGAAGAAATGTAAGTGGGCCAATACCGGGCTCCAAAAATGTTTAATTTCCTAATAACCATAGAAAAATACAAATTAAATCAAATTGAGGCACCATTTTTAATCCACCAAATTATCAAACATTTGCTTTAATAAAATGATTGCCTCATGGGGTGCCATGGGAGAACACATCTTCAAACTGCTGATGCTAGACACTGCGTTTTGGAGGTTTATAAATAGATTTTGCATTCCAAGGCAGGACAGAGAATCCATCGGCAAAACAATTTTCCTCTTGTTCTGGATTGTTCTGTTAAGACTCCCTCCATGGGACAGCTGTGAAGTAAGAGCCTCCTGCTCTTGGGGAATCCGGAAGCCAGCTACTTCCGATAACTATGTGAGGCATTCTATTTAGTTATGCAAATTGGATCTGCTAGTTAAAGAACCCTTTTTTTCTAACCTGGATTTTGCAGCCAGCTCTATGCAGGAAAATGACACACGTGTGCAGGTACACGAGTGTGTGTTTTCATCCCATCATCTGAGAACAGGCTGGATGAGGGAGGCAGGCCTGCCCTTTCCCAAACCAATCGAGGGAGGCTGCCCAGGTTTAACAAACACTGGCCTGGGCTGTGGGACTGCAGGTGGTGGTAGCAGCCTGATCTTGGGATGTGCAGCCATTCATTGTGATGGTCTAGCCTGCCCGGGCCCCGTGATGCAGTGAAGAGAATAAATATGCCCACTGTCCATGCTGCAGGAGCAGCAGCTGAAGCAGGCTTTGAACAAGAGGCCTGGATTTCTCCTCCCCCTCGGGTTGGGGGCTGTGGAGGTCTGCACTCTGGGCAATAGGAGCTCAGTCAAGGCCATTCACACTATCGGGAGGCCAGCCACCCCTGCACTTTCCCTGAACTGTGGTCACCGAGACTGAGAAGAGAGGCAAACAGCGTGGCCCCAGGGGAGAATCCCAGACTAGACTTTGGCAGCCCCAACCTCCAGGTGAGATCTGCCTTCTGTTCTCCCCAAACCTGCAGTAAGGTTTTGTCAGCCTGGTGGTAGCTGTTTTAGGGAAATGAGGGAGGGCACTGAGCCCAGAGAAGCCATCCCGGGAGCTGAAGCCTAGAGATGTCACCAGATGGCAGGAGGTGACCCAGTTCTGGGGAGTAGGGCAGTGGTCCAGAGGAAGGAAGGTGGCCGAGGTGACAAGCAATAGCCAGGTCAGAGCAGGCAACAGGAAGCATTGCCTCATCCGCGGAGGCAAACCGGTGATGGCCTGGTGTCATGGGCTGGCACTCAGGCTGTTTTCATTTGAATGTTGAGGAGCAGAGTGTCCCGGGGATGGAGAATTTGAGGACCCCTGGCTGCAGGTTAGAGGCAGGAGAACAGGCTCTTTTATATGCTGCATGACTGTAAGTGGTGATTGCCAATTGAAAGACAACTTTCCCACCACTAGCAACACCCCCAAAATGTGCATACTCTGTACCCAACAAAACCGTTTCCAGGAGTGTCTCCTATGGTCAGAAAAAGGTCACTGTATGTTACCTGGATGGGGGACAGAAACAACCAAATCTTTGTTTTCAGAGCCCTCTGGATGGGATTTAGCTCTTCCTTCACTTAGGCATGTAGGCAAGCAAGCCACAGCAAACTTCGCAACACCTGGGGCTTTCCCCCAGTAGAAATCAGTTGCTGCAGGCCTCTTGAACACTCATCCACATTTCAAAGTTCTGTCATTATTAAACCCACTATGAGATCCTGCTACTAGGTGCATTAGTAAGAAGCACATTTATAATTACAGCCCAATTTCTTTGCATTTCATAACAAGCTTTATTTTTTAGAGCAGTTTTAGGTTTATATAAAAATTGGGCAAGAAATACAGGATTCCCATATACTTCCTGCCCACAGAGTTTACCCTGTTATTGACATCTTGCTTTGATGTGGTACATTTGTTACCACTGATAAGCCAATTACAAAACATTATTGACTAAAGTCCATACTTTAAGTCAGGATTCACTCTTTATGTTGTACATTCTGCGGGTTTTGGCAGATGCATAATGTCATGTATCCACCATTACAATATCATGCAGAGTATTTACTTTTACGTTGCCCTAAAAACCCCATGTGCTCCACTTATTCATCCCTCCCTCTCTCTTCCCAAACCCTCGGAACCACTGATATCAAGTTTTGCTTTTTCCAGAATGCATTGTAGTTGGAATCAAAAGGCATGTAGGCATTTCAGATTTGCTTCTTTACTTAGCTATACACACTTGAGTTTCCTCCATGTCTTATTTTGTGCCATTGAGTATTCAGAGTTTATTGGAAAATGAGATTTCAGAGCAAGATAAGAGCTCATGCCCAAGAGTTGGGTGTGGGCTGACCCAGTGGGGGTCGTCTTCCTCCATGTCTTTTCATAGCTTGATAGCTCATCTCTTTTTATCTTTGATAATATTCCACTCTTTGGAGTTACTTTATACACCACAGTTGTTTATCCCTTCACCTACTGAAGGACATCTTAGTTGCTTCAATTATAAATAAAGCACCTATATAATAATTATAATAAACATCTATATCCAAAAGTGGAGGTTTTTGTGTGGATGTAATTTTCAACTCATTTGGATAAATACAAAGGTGTGCAATTGCTGGACCACCCTGTAAGACTCTGTTTAGCTTTGTAAGAAACTGCCAAACTGTCTTCCAAAGTGTGCCATCTTGCATTCCAGCAGTGGAGGAAAATTTCTGCTGCCCTGCATTCTCACTAGCATTTAGTGGTGTCAGCATTTTAGATTTTAGCCACTCTAACATGTATATAGCCGGGTCTCCTTATTGTTTAATTAGCAATTCCCTAATGACATAGGATGTGGAGCAACTTTCACATGTTTATTTGCCATCTCTGCTCTGGGTCAGACTGTAAGCTCAGGCAATGCTGTCTGTAGGTAAGCTACTCTCCCCATTATATCAGACAGCCTTGCTGTGTAACACATATTCCATCCCAAAACTCAGCGGCTTACGATAAAGATCACACATCTGTGGGTGCTGTGGGGATCAGTGGACTGTGGCTGGGTGGGGCTGGAAGCTCCGGGCTGCACAGAAGGGTCTGCTCCACTTCTCGCTGCAGGCTTCCAGGTCTGCTGGCACAGCTCTGCTCCACATCTCACGCCTTCTTTGGACAACTGTAGCCCAGTTAAAAAATATACTTTGATAAATGTGTTTCAATATAATTGTTTTTCTTTGTAAACTCTGGCATATTATTTTATGCATTTAAAAATATTATTTTGAGAGGAGGCTTCTCCAGGTCAGAGAGGTTCTTGCACAGAGAAGGTTAAGAATCCCAGTCTACAGGATATACAATGCAACTCTGAGTGTGATCCTGAGAAACAGGGAACAACAGAAGGCCTCACCCAGGGGAGGCTGATTATACCTGGTTATTTCTTTACAATGGGATACCACAGAGAAACAAAAACTTTATTATAGAAGAATAGGGAAATAAAACATCCCAATTTTAATATTCATTGGAAAAAAACAGGTCATAAAATAATATACACAGTGACACCCAATTTTTACAGAAGAAAAGCAAGAAATATACATGTATTGGTATATATAGTAAGTCTGAAAGGATATTTGCCAAATTATTAACAGTACATCTTAGGCGGTGGTGAGATACAGGTGATTTAATTTGTCTTATTTGTCTTTTCATTTTCTGTATTGAACATGTATTATCTTAAAAGACATAAGACATAAACCACATTAAAAGTTCTTTTTTATTTTTAAATCTGTTATCTTGAAGTATAACTTAGGTGCGATAAAATTTACCACTGTCAAGTGTACAATTTGACGAGTTTTGACAAACAGACACAGTTGTGTAACCACCACCATCATCAAGCCATAGAATATTCCCAGCACCAAAAAAAGAAAGTTTCCTTGGGTCCCTTTACCTCTCCAACCCCCTAGGCCTCTAACCACTGATCTGATTTGGTCACTATAGTTTTGTCTAAGAGTTACTTATTAAAGAAAACAAACAACTGATTGGATGCTTAGGTAGTAAATTGCCCAAGGTCATTGCCTCCTCCAGGAAGCCTTCTTGGATTTCTGCATCTCTATTCTCTTTACTCTACCTACCCCCACCCCATCTAGGAGTTCTGTCCTTCAATGCTGAACCCATGGTGTTTTCATTAATCACCAATTCACACTTACATTTCTTCTTAAGGGCATTTGCTTCTTAAGGTCATTTACTTCTTAAAGGCAGGGACTCTCAACCTGCGACACCTTCTAATGCAGCAATAAGGCCATTTGTGGAGTACTTACTGGTGCCAGGGGTATGCTAAACCCTTTACCTCTGTCTCCTTTATCTTCCCAGCAATCTGAAAAGGATGGTAAAATTACCTCCATTTAACTGAGAGGCAAAGGAAGCTCAGGGTAAGCAATTCATCAAGGCCACAGGAAGTAGCTGAGCCGGGACTTGAACCAGGTCTGTGTCCAGAGTCCGTAAACTTGATCACATTGTATGCACTGGCCTCTGTAACGGTCTGATGCACAGAAGGCGCCAGGTTAATACCGTTCACTGAACGGCTGAATGGCGTGTCACACAGCCAGCGTGCTCCCGTAGAGACCCGAGCTCCGTGGTCTTTCTTTTCCCGCAGCCCTTTGGATGCTCAGGAAAGACACCCCCTGCCTTCCTCCTCGTCAGCTCTTCGTGTCTTCCAGGGAGCTCCCCTTCCTTTGGCTCCTGAATGGAATGCTAGGGTGGGCAGTGGGAGCACAGGGGTGCTGGGGGAGGGGTCTGCAGTGCCCGGAAGGAGAGGCTCCTCCAGGAGCTGCCAGGTGGGGCGACAGCCTGCCTGGCAGACGGGCAGCCTTGGGAAGGACCTGCTTCCTTTGGACTATTTGGAAGCCGGGGGCTTTCATAGACAGAGCCAAGGGCCAGGTATGGAGGGTGGCCACAACTGTGCCTGTGGATAGCTGGCCAGGGGATATGCTCCAGAGGACCAACCCACAGGAGATAAGCTAGAATGGACTTTCACAGGACATTGCATTGGCCAGGAGCACAGCTGACCAAGGTCAGGAGCTGGAACCAAGCCTGGAAAGATCCCATCCTTCTTCACACTGTTGGGTGAAGGCTGGGGCAAGTTCCTGCTGGAATTGGCTCCTTCTCATCATGCTTGGCCATTTCCAGGAGGCTGGCAGGGACGAGGGGATGTCAAGGTCTAACTGGGGCTCTGAGAAGCCTGGGTTCAAATCACAGCTGTGCCATTTTCTGACTGGTCACTCCAACTTCCCAGGTTTCAGTGTCCTGTTTATAATAACAATAGCAACACCTTGCCTTTTACAGTTCAGACGTCTTTGCATGCATTTGCATGCAGTGAAACAGGCATGATGGCTCAGCTTGCCAGGAATTCACAAAGCTAGCAAAGGGGGGGAAGTAGGACCAGAGCAAAGCTGTTCAGTGTTTCTCCTGTGCAGCCCGAAGCTGCTTCTTTGCCTAAGACCTCAGGCATCTACATGTTTTGCTGCCACTAAAGATGTTCACACCTGCATGAGTTTGCTAGGGCTGCTGTAACAAAGTGCCACAGTTGGGTGCTTAAGCAATAAAAATGTGATGTTTCTCACTTCTGGAGACCAGATGTCCAAGGTCAAGCTGTCAGTAGGGTTGGTTCTTTGGAGGGTGGGAGAAAGGATCTGTTCATGCCTCTCTCCCAGCTTCTGGCGGTTTGCTGGCAATCTTTGGTTATACAATCTTTGTAGGCACATCCCTCCTCTCCGAGTTTGTGTTTCCACGGTGGTTTCCCTGTGTCTCTGTTTCAAATATCCCTTTTATCATCAAGGACCCCTGTCATATTGGATCAGGGGTCTGCCGCACTTCAGTATGATCTCATTTTAACTAATTACATCCGCAGCAACCTGTTTCCAAATGAAGTCAAGTTCTGAGACCCTGGGGGGTTAGGACTTCCACATGTGAATTTGGGGGACACAGTCCAACCCATAACAACACTATTAAGGAATGCGGGCCACAAAGTTGGCCTCTGAAGCAAAGGGCTCAACTTCTTCCTAACTGTGTGACCCTGGGCAAGTGACTACCTCTCTGGGCCTCAGTTTTTACAACTGTAAGATGGGGAATGTGCATGTCATTGACAGACTTCCCAGCTGCTGCCCTTCTGGATCTTTCCTCATGTTCCTGCCAAAGCTGCAGGAACAAGATGCTCCCAGCCAGTGACTGAGTAAAGGGGAGACACAGGCTCCTTTAACCATGACCTCGGCTGGAGGACTTTCTAGTCGGCATGGCTGACACTTTCCTGGGACTGTACTACCTGCCGTGTGAGACTCTTCCCACCGGGTCCTCCTGGCCCCCGTCTCTCACTTGGGAGTCACACCTGTTTGCTTGTCTGACAGCACTCCTGCTTCTCTAGCTCCCCCTCTTCCTTTCACAGGTGTATCCCCCCAAAATCCTGTCTTGCTGTCTGCTCCTTGGAGGACCTGAACTAATCCAGGGCTAACAGTAACACATTCCATAAGGATGGTTATGAAAACGCCACTTACAATGTAGTATGTGTAAAGCACTGGGAAGAGTGCCTGGCACTTAATAAATGCTCAGTAAAATGTCACTCATTCACAAAGCATTTATTTAGTGCCTGCTGTGTGCTAAACGCTGCACTTGCAGAGTTGAGTAAAACCTAGTCCCAGCTTTCAAAGAGGTCACAGCCTCTCTGAAGAGAGAAACTGAAGTAAACATAAGAATGGTTATTCTGGAAATGATCTTAAAGGAGTAATTCAGGAGAAGCAAAAAGCTGCAAATGTGTGGAGGCCCAGTCTTTCTCCACCACCCACAATCCATCCTGCACCAGGGGTCACAGAGACTGGAGTGACCCTCAAATGCCCCACTGACCTCGTCCATCTCCAGCTGCCCAGCACGCGGAAGTCACCCAGACCCCTACTGGCTCCTGCCCTCTGCTCCGGCTTTGGCTCAACCTCACCAGCACTCAAGCCAGACAGACCATCGCTTGGGGCTTCATCGGCTGACTCGCTCTCCCTACCAGCTCTTTGCTCCTGCTGATGACCTCTGCTGGGGCACACATCCCTGAGGTGTCATGCGACCACCTCCTCGGCATCCCTCCGGTCTCAGCTGGCATTTCCTCTGGGTAGCCTCCTCTGATTCCCTAAGCCAGAGGTAGGCGGCTCTCCTCTGGTCCCCTAGCTCTGTCCTGGTACTTGTCCTACTGCTCTGCCAGGGCCCAGTTCCTTATGTGCTTCCCACCAGACTGTCAGGTCCCTGAGGACAGAGACTGTCTTACCATATCCATGTTGAACTTTTTATTATGAAAAATGTCAAACATATACAAAAGAGGGCAAGAACAGCACCCTGAAGCCCCACCCACATCACCCCCAATCAGAGATTTTGTTCCTTGGGTCCATCTCTTTTTTTTTCCCTTTGCTAGAGTATTACAAAGCAAATCATTTCCCCTCCTATATGTTTTGTTGTGTTTCTCTAAGAAATTCAATAAATAGTTTTTAAACCCTCTGTTGCAGAGCTGTTAATAATAGCCCCCAATTGGAAGCAAGCTGATTAGCTAATATCTGACAATAACGGTGTATCCAGTCAAAGGACTTTGATGCATCCACGAAGATGATCAATACCAAGACCACACAGCCAAGTGGCAAAACGCTTGGGACTAGGAAAAATCCAGAAAGGTAAACTGCTTGGTCCAAGGTGGTCTCCGTGCTCTGATTTGGCACCCAGGCCAAAACAACTGCCCGGGTTCCTAGCCAGAATAGAGAAAGCCGAGGGGAAGGTGAAGCTGAGGATGGGGGGTTGCTGGGCAGACATGTTCTTCTCTTCAGAATATTCTTCAGTGTCCCCATCTTTCCAAGCTGTTATCTGCAGACCAGATTTACTGCAGCAGCTGTTTGTGAAGCCAAACACAGGACTGAAGGGATCTTGTGGCTCTGTGGGGCTGGCTGTGGCAGAAAGCCTGTGTCAGCTCATGGCCAGCGTGGTTCTAATCTTCTCTGCAGAGCCCTCTCTGTTCTCAGAAGGTGGCCCTGGTTGCACATTCGTTCATTCTTCTGGTGTCTGGAGTTTGGGAAGGTCATGGTGCTGTGGCAGTGTTATCTGTGTTCCCAGCCGTGTGTGCACTTCACAAGGCGTTGGGACTATCTAGGCGGCCCACCCATCTGGGGCCCGTGATAGGGCACAGAGTTCCCACTGGCTGTTTAAAAGGTTATCAAGATCAGTAGTTGTGGTATCTTTGTTCCTCTGGCAGAAGCATGTCTTGGACTGACTGCAAACCCCAGTGTGACCCATAGTGTTGTCCTGGGAACAACAGGCTGTGCTTCACAGCCTGGTCCCCAGGTATGCTGTCTCCAGAGAAGAAAGACACCTGTCTACATCAGACTTCCCTGTATCCACCCCCACCCCCTGGGAGCCCAATGCCTGCAAACAGGAGGCACTAACTTAATGCTTGTTACCCCATGTGCCACTGAGCCGGGGTCTTCATGCTCTTTGGAAAGTCAGACCTGAGGAATTTTGGAAGGACCCACCCCAGTGCAGTGTTTAGGTGGTCAGGTGTGGAAAGAGATGGGGTGGGGGGAATGGAGGTCAGCTCCCCTCCCAGTCACCTGGGGGGCTTGGGACTGCCTGTCCTCCAGCTCCCTCATCTGCCAATGTACCCATTCATCTCCACCTGACTCTTCAACCAATTTGATGCCACACACATTTGCTGAGTAGCCTCCCTGAGGCCAGGGAAGAGACCTTGAACTAAACTGTCACAGTTCATAACCTCAGGAAGGTCACTGCAAACAATAACTATGATGGTAAATGATCAAAATTAACTGAGAGAATAATGCCTAGGGTGGGGAGTCAAGAACAATTTCTGGGAAGGGCTTTCACTTGCTAAGAGCCTTCAAGATGGAGCAGCAGTTCACCGGGTAGTCAAGTGTGGGGACAATGCATTCAAAGATGGAGGCAGCAAACTGTACGGTTGTTAAGAAATTTCCAGCAATTACACCAAGGTGAAGCTATGAAGGGCCTTGGAGGGTCTGCTTCCCACCCAGGGCTGCCAGGAAAGGCCTCAGAGTGTTACTGCTACTAGGGTGTTAGTACCTTCAACAGCAGAACACTTCCACATCAAATGGGCGGGCTTCCCATGCATGCAGATCAAGTGGACACTGGATGCCAGGTGACCCTGGCTTTAGCAGTTGGTAAGGGGTTTGCCCTACGCTGAGCGGTTCAATGAACTTTCCTTCTCTCCCTCTGTTCTTCCTTGCTCTCAGCTGCCTGCATGGCTGCCGCCATTTGCTTCTACTCTTGCTTTAATGAATTCCTTTCTTGCTGGTTTCCACTGGATAGAGAATTCTTTCCCAATTAGTCAAGAGCCCTCCCTCCGCTGCCTGGGCTGAGGTTTCACCTGGTGCATAGAGAGAGACCTCCCCAGACGCAGCTGCATGGCACCAAGGTCACCCACACTTCTGTCCTATTTGGCTCCTCAGTTTTCCACAACCCCCTCCTCAGTTCCATAATTTGCTATAATGGCTCACAAATTTCCCTCACTATTGCTGGTTTATTATAAAGGATATTATAAAGAATACAAATTAACAGCCAGATGAAGAGGTACATAGGGTGAGATCTGGAGGGGCCCACAGACCACAGCAGCTTCTGGCCCCATGGAGTTGGGGGTGCATCTCCCGCTCAGCATGTGGGTGTGTTCACCAACCCAGGTTTTTCTGGAAGTTTCATTATGGAGGTATAACTGATTAAATTATTGGCCCCTGATGCTTAACTCAATCCCCAGTCCCCATCTTCCTGCCTCCCAGAAAGGAGTGCTGAAAGTTTTAACCCTCTAAAAATGTGATTGTTTCCTCTCGCAACCAGCCCCCAAAGTAAAGTTATCTCGGGTCTACCTATCAACCACCAGTTATCTCATTAACATGAACCCCAGGATGGTTGAAGGGGCTTGCTATGAATAACTAAAGAGGCTCCTTAGCACCTCTATCGCTCAGGAAATTCCAAAACCTTTGAGAAGCTAGGATAAAGACCAAATATTGTAACAAAATATTCTACAACCTCTATCACTCGAGGTTTTTTAAGTTCTGTGCCAAGAACCAGGGATGAAGACCAAATATATATATTTCTTATTATATCACAACATCAGAGTCACAAGACCAGGGTTCAAATCCCAGCATCTATTTGTTGGGTGGCTCACTGAGCAGTCATTTCTTGTTTTGTAAGATAAGGATGATTACAATACCTGCCTCACCAGGTTGGAGTGAGAAATAATTATGATGAAAAAGCATCCAGCAAATGCCTTGGCATACAGTAGGTGTTCAATATATGTTTATTAACTTAGAAAAATTAAATTGTAATCCGAATGTAACAAACACCAACCCACCACTGGTTAGTCTTTCCATGGTACCTTATTTAATCCTTGCAGTCATCGGCCAGGAAGACCGTCACTCCCATTTTACAGAGAGGATACTGAGGCTCAGGGAGGGGATGACACTTGTTCAAAGTCACACAGGTGACAGAATATGGGGAAGGAATTAGACTGGAGTGGGTTGAGCACCAAATCCTGAATCTTTCCAGACTTTTTCTCAACAAACCACTTGGCCCCTCCCACCCCTGTTCATGTCAGAGACTGTTCATAGCCTTCCAGTATCTATTTTCTGATGTTTCTTTAGCAACAGAAACTGTTTGTAGTGGGGCACACTGTTGCTCAGTCCAAAGCCAACATTTCCTGACCTCCCTTCCGCGATATGTGGCCCTGGGGCTAGGTTACAGCCAATGGGATGTAAGGACAAGTCATAGGCACCTCTGGAGGTCTCCTCACAAGGGAAGGGAGATTGCTTGCAAGTAAATGTATGTTAATTAAGAAAAAGAGGATGAGACAGCTGTCTTCCTACCTTCCTCTTCCTTTCCTGCTGGCTGAACTCAGACAAAGTAGCTGGAGTTCAAGCAGTCATCTTGGGCCACGTGGAGCACTGCTGGTAGGACAGCAAGGTGGTGAGTCACCACCCCAGTCCTTGGCTGCCTCCTCTTCCCTCTTCTGGATCATCAGCTCTTCCCTAGTAAGTCTTTCCTTCAGCATTTAAACAGGTTCAAGTTTCTTCCAACCCTCCCTCAATCCATGTTCCCTTCTCTCTCTCTTTCCAGCCTCTCCAGCTGCTCATTCCCTGTTGTCTTTTCCGGCTCAGCCCCTGCTTTGACCTCTAATCCTCTCTAAGGACTGGTCTGACTTCCTTTCTTGTGTGTCTCAAAAGCACCTCAGATTGAACATGTCCGAAATGAACTCATTCCCTTCTCCCTCCCCATGAACCTAGCTGTTCTTGCCAGAAATCAGGGGGGATCTCTTCCCATCACCACCTACAACCAATCCATAATCAAGCTCTGACAATTTCATTTCCTAAATAAAACCCACCCAGTGCCACCAGCCCACTCAAACCACTATCATCTCTTGCCTAGAACTAGTACAAAAGTCCCCTAATTGGTCTTCCTGTCTCCACTCCAATCCCCCTAAATAATGTTTTGTGCACTACAGTCAAAGGGATCTTTACCAATGGGATCATGCCAATGGCTTGCTCAGAAGTCAACAACTTCCCTTTGTTCTCCAGATGAATAGTCTAACTCCTGCCTGGGGCCCGCAAGGTCAGAGCAGGCCCCACAGTGCTCTTCTCTCTGTCCCCCTCCATCTCTGTCCCGGGCGCAGAGGCCTTCTGTGACACGCATGTTTCTTGAGCCCACGTGCTCCCTTTCCTCATGCCACCTCCCCTCCCCCACAACGCCCCCAACTCCTGCCTGACCTTTCTGCCCCTGTTGCCAGTTAACCCACACTTCCATGCCCCATCACATACATCAACTTCTCTGCCTGGCATTTAGCAACACTTGAGATGACTTATGTTTGTAAATGTTTCCCTCTCCTATTAACATGTTCCCTTTTTGAGCGCCTGTCTTGCTTGCGGCCTCACTCCTATAGGCCAGGCACGGTCACCCAACCAGTACTTGTTGAGTAAATGAGCAATTCGCCCTCCCCTTCCCCCACCTCACCCGCCGGCCTCAGTGTTCATAAAGAACCCAAAACACAGGGCCTGACGAGCCCCACCTAAAAGACATTCTGAAGAAAGTGCGCAAATAATGACCCGCGAAGGGCAATCACTCAAAGAAGCCTTCCCTTAATCTTCCACCAGCGCAAAGGTGGAGGAACGCGCCTGCGCACACGCTCCACTACAGTCCCCACTTTAGCCATGTGGTGGCGCTGGGCGCATGCTCCCTGGCAGCGCCGTACTGCTCGCCGGCTTCAGGCCGCTCTAGCCGCCCTTCTCGCCTGCTCTGGCGGGAGGCGGGCGCGCCCGCGGGGGTCCTTCCAAGATGGCGGCGCAGAGGAGGAGCCTGCTGCAGAGTGTGAGGAACAGACCCGCATTCTGGGCTAGGGGTTGGGAGCCCAGGGGGGCCTGTCGGGTGCAGCCGCAGCTCCATCTCCGCCTCTGGGCTGCCTTCCTCTCCCTCGCGGGGTGTGGCCGCCGCCCTCCCCTCTCCCAGGCCAGCCCCTCTCATTTCGGAGGCTGGGGGCGCATGCGGCCCCGCGAGGCCCGCGCGTGCGCTCTGAGCCCGGCCGTCGGGGGCTCGGCGTCGTGGTCCCAGCGTCCCGGAGCGTCTAGGGCGCGTGGAGGGTGGGAGCCTCCCGGAGCCGGAAGGGACGAGGGGAGCCCGGTGGTGCGCTCACCCCCGGCACTGAGCGGTCGTGCGATAGTGACAAGCGGCAGCAGCGGGCACTTATGCTCGGGCCAGTTGCTTTACATTGGCAAGCTTAATTTTCAAAACAGCTCCCTGATAGGTACTGTAACTATTCGTGTTTTACAAATAAGGAAATTCAGACACAGAGACGTGGACATTTTCCTAAAGCCACACAGCTGGTAAGTGGCAGAGGCAGGATTAATTTCAAGCAGTCTTATTTCAGAACCCCTCTTAACCTCTAGGCTATACAGAGGGAATGACTGGAGACGTGGCAGCCTGAGTTACGGTCTGGCTGGCTCTCTGTGCCTCCTTCAGCCCCAGTTTCTTTATCCATAAGGTGAGAGCAGCCAGTGGGAAGATTGTTCCGAGACTCACACCTACCCCTAGCCTGGACCCTTGTGGGTTTGTCGCTGTTGTCATCCAGCCCTTCCATCCTCCTGACATGTGCACATGGGTGCACGTGCGTGTTGGCACCATGGGCCTATTCTGATCTGCTAGGTAGGTCCCCTGGGTCCTCCCTAGATGTGGCTGGCTGTTATTCTTGCCTGTGGACTTGTCTGCCCCCTGCTTTGAAAGTGAACTCTGTGAAGCTAGGGACTCGTGATCTACAGTGAATAGTGTCACCAGCACCTACCACTACTAAGTGCCGGACATTCAATAAATATTTGTAAAATAATGAGTAAAGCATTTGTGGCCAGGTCCAGTGCTCTGCCTTGGCCATACAGTGATGCTGCAGAAATCGGTCCTCTGTCCTTGAGGTTCTTGAAGTATTGGAATTTGAGGGTAAGGGGTGAACTTCACTGCTGCTTTGTGTAGACTCTTGAATTGCTCTTCTAAGACAGCAATTTCCAGGTCTCCCCAGTGGGATACTCTTCTCTCCCTCCCCACACTCCCCAAACGTTTGGCTGCCCCTTTATTTTACTATTGCTTAGCTGGTTAGCCTTGTCATTGAGTTAGGTAGGCCTGGCCCTCTGCTTTGTAGCTGCCAGAGGGCAGGACCCCTATGTAAATGCCCCCATTGTAGTGAACATTCCAGAAATACTGGCTGGACTGTGACAAATGCTGTAAGTGGTGACTGCTGTAGGCCTACAAGGCTTGCTGAGGAGAGTGGCTGCAAGCTTCCCTCCCTTCTAGATGTGATGGACCCCAAGGGGCTCAGGTTAGACAGAGGCTTTACCAGCTGCCAAATGTATTCCTGGGTAGTGGTGGAATCTTTTAAAGGTAGGATAGTTTGCTTGAAGCACATAGCATCTTGATGAAGGACAAGGGGATGGCAAGGATGTCCACGCAAGGTGACCCCCACCCTCATGGTGACCATGACATCCTTGTTCACAGGATCCTTGTTCTTTGTGGGTGGCTCACTGACCTGTCCACCAACCTAAGTCTGGTGAGAGCAGCTCAAATACCATTGTTCAGTAGATGGCTCTGAGGGCTGTGGTCTGTGGTTACTGGGCCTGGGGATACACAGATACGGCATGTGCCCACCCTCACTGCATTGGCAGTCCAGCATGGGAGAAGGCACATACACCGCTAACACGATAGGTATGGCATTCTAGTGTCGATGTGCTGGGCACAGTAAATTATGTAATTTGACCAGGTCAGTGGAGGCTTTCAGGAGGGGTTAGCATTTGCTGATATGGTGCTCGGAGGGTATGCTAGGGCCAGATGCCAGAGTATTTCATGGAGTATCACCCTGAGAAGTTGCACCTTTGGTCCCCAGGCAGTGTGGTACCTCATAAGTTCCTTTGAAGAAAAGAGCAGCTTTGGAAAGCAGCTTGATGTGTTCAAAAGAGCTTGGGCCCTCCCAGCCTAATAAAGCAGAGTAGGAGTCCTGCATGGACTTGGGCAAGTCACTTAACATCCCTGAGCCTTAGTTTCCCCAGCCAGGAAGACTTCCAGGAGTGCTGTTAGTATTCAATGAACTAACACATTACACTGTCAGCCACAGTGGTCACCCTCCAGCTGTGAAGTTCCACCTTCGGTTCTGTAAATGAATGCATATGGTTCATTCCTCCAGTATCACCAAGCATTCACTGTTTGGCCAGCCCTGCGTAAGTACAGAGGATACTGCCCTGAAGAAGCTTATATTCTAGGAAGGGAGACAGTGAACAATGAGTAAATACAGATTATTTGAAACATAGTATCTATAACATAACATAAGGTGGTGCTGCAAGGAAGACTAGTCTGGATTCACAGACAGAATGGTTGAGGGGTCATTCTAAAATGAGTGGCAGAGAAGATCTCTCAACTTTTGTTGAGATGAAGTAGGGGATATAGAAGGGGCGTTCCTGCCTGAGGGAACAGGGATGCAAAGGCCCGCCTGTCTGGGGAGCATCAAGGAGCAAATGTGGCTGGAGTGCAGTGCATTGTGGGAGTGGTGGTGGCCGAGGCCCAAAGGAGCCTTGTGGATCCTGGTGCAAACTTTGGATTCTGTTCTAAGTGTGATGTGATATTCTCGGGTGGTTTTGAGTAAAGAACACGATGTGGTCGGGTTTGTGACTGGAGAAAGCCCTCTGTTGAGAAGCATTTGAGTGGAGAATACAAGCTTGGGACCTGCTGAGTGGCGCTGCAGTTGTCAGGGTGCAAGAGGATGGAGGCGTGGTCATAGTGTCGGCGGAAGAGTGGTGAGAAGTGCTGGCTTCTGGCTGTATTTTAAAGGAAGAACTGATAATTTTTTGATGGGAAGGGTGTAGCGTGCATGACAGAGGAAGAAGAATCAAGGACTTTAAGGTTTCAGTTGGAAAAACAGTGGTTCTCATTAACGAGTTGGGGAACCCAGGAAGAGGAGCGCATGTGAGACTGGGAGAATCAATAGTTTGATTTTGCCCTATATGATTATTAATTAAAAAAAGAAAATAAACTTGAAATCAATTGTTTTAACTTAGACATATCCTGAGCAGTTATGTAGGTGAAATGACATGCTAGCTGTGTATTTTTTCTAATGACATTAAAATAAACAATGCATCCATTAAAATGAAAGCATCCATTACACCTACAGCCATCTCATACATTGCCGGGATGTAGTACAGTTGCTCTCACACAGTCCGTGCTCAATAATTATTAGTAGCCCCTTTAAGAATGTATTAAGACTGTATTTGTGATGAAAACATAGAAAACCTTTGATGAAAACCGTAGTGGGAGAGGCGGGGGCAGGAGTGGAGCTGGCCCCAGAGAAGTGGGAAAGGAAAAGGGGGTCATTCAGAAAGAGAGATGGCAGAAGATACCGGGCGTTTTAAGCATTTTGGAGAAAAAGAACTGCTGCCCCCCACCCTGAGCCATCTTCCTGGGGGGCATTATTCTCCCTTTCTGAGCTTCCTTTTAGCCTCTGAGGAATTCGGGTGCTTTCACCACAAAAACACTCAGCCTTTTCATACTATAATTTGATATTCAGGCTGTGGCCTGAATTGGGAACCATGCTTTGTCCACTTCTGCTGCCCAGGAGTTTGAGATGAGTCTCTCTGTGGGGACTTGTCATGGGTCATTCTTATGTCTTGTTGTCACATATATATATGATGATGCTTAAACATGTGTACAAGGTGTTTGTAATATCCTTAACGGGTTAAATGCATTTGGATCACTATAGAAACTTCTCATACCAAAATATAAATTTTGGAAACTCCCTCACACAGTGAAGTCAAAATTGGGCTTTTTGAAACGGTTCTTACCAGGTTTCCTGTTAAATTTCTTGTGAGAAATTAATTTTTAACCCATCAGAGTTGAAATGGTCCATGCTCACTGTTCTGTGTGTTTACGCGTCTGTGTGACGAGGTTGACTGAGTGTGAGACACCCCCTTCTCAGCTTCCCAGCTGATTCATGTTTGGGGTGCTGAAACCCACATGCTGTTGGTATTTGTGGGCGTGGGAGAAAGTATGCATCAGTGTGTGCCGGGGTGGAGAAGTGGGTGGTTTGCGTGAATAGAAAATAACGTGGCCTTTCTGAGAATTGTTCAGAAATGTGGAGGAAGGAAGCGAGAAACTTGGCAGTCTAGTGTGTTTTAATAGAATCAATGGGTGCTTGCTGTGGATAATCCCCAGTGGAGGAGAGAGAGAGAAAAGGGGGGAAGTAGGCTTGCAGCTCGCCCGGCCCGCAGCAGCTTGAGAGGGATTTCGGGGTCACTGCTGAAGTCAGGGAGGACCAAATGCTGTCCCGCTCCCACACAGGTAGAACCTCCTAGAATTCTCCAGCCACTTGTTATCGACTGTCTGAGGTGCTGTGGGGACTGCATTCTGGGCAGGTACTTCCTCTGCAGGCATGCTCAGAAGTATATGAGAAACTGTATGTCATTGACTCTAAGACACCATTAATTATAAGGACACGTTATTTTACATACTATTAAGAAAGAAAGCACACTGCTCATTAACTTGTAACACACCAACTTCAGAGATACTAAAACGTTGAAAAGACGTGTTTTTGAATCAGTGAAATAAGGTGCCTAATTGGCAATACCAG